CCACAATGCTGGTGGCCATGGAGGAGCTACCTGGCGGTCTGAGCCAGACCCCACACCTCCACTCCCTGCTGTAAGGAGACAGGAGATGGAGAGGGAACACCCATGTTCCAGGGAGGCTGCCCTCCCAGTTGTAGCTCTGCGGCCTTCCCCCTCACACTCAGACAAGCCTATTTCAGGCTCTCCTGGAAGCCCAGATGCCTCTGGGAGCTGAGAAACTCCCCAAGCTGGCGGCTGAGGCTTCTCCTGGGCAGCACAGGCCCAGATGGGAGGCTCGGGAGTAAACACCAAGGGGCTGGGGAGTGGAGCCAGGATGAAGGAGCAGAGCACGTGGCCCCTAGACTCCCCTGGCTCAGAAGGAGGGCCTCTGCGACTGTTGGTCCTCAGGGCCATAATCTGGTGCTAGGTATTGAGGCAAGAGACTAACCTGGGTCCCAGGCCACCCCACCACCACCAGCACACCACAGTAGGGGGGAAATCTATTAAGGCAAGGACTGCCAGGCCCCTTCCCGGCCCTCCCATCAACTTCCCTGGGAAACCTTGGGCATCAATTCCTAATCCAGGAGGTGGGGATAAACAGTGCCAAAGCTTGGCAGAGTGTTGCAAGGATTAATGCAATCACATAATAAATGCTCAATAAATATATTCCCTTCTCCATAAGATGGATGTAATAACTGCTTAGTTGTGATATTTATTTTCATTTATTTATTTNAAAGGGCAAGAAAATAGAGGTCAGAAGGGAAAGGGGCCGAGGTCGGGCTTCCCAGCAGGTCCCTGCCTGCCCCACGGGAGTGGGCCAGCAGCGAGCACCCAGGTGAGGCACAGGTGAGCCAGGAGCGGAGTCCCCAGGGAACTGTCCCTGCTGAGTTCCAGCGGAGAGAAGGGGAGAAGCTACCGGAGACAGGCCCCACCCTGAACCCGCCACCTGGGTAGGACAGGCCAAGTGTCTGGGCTCAGAGGGGTCATTCAGAGACCACATGCCTCAGAGGGACCCCCCCCACACACAATGACACTAGTCTTCACCCACATACATCCCAGTGCTCACACTATTCCTGTAAAGTGTCCCCAAGCCCCACATGCTGGTAACTGATTACAGATCTGTGCTCACTTCCCACAAGTGCGAGTCCCTGGGGGTGATGCAGAGAGTCCCCAGACCACAGTCACCCTCAAACTCCTGCCCTTGGCAGAGGGAAGCTAGCAAATCTAGGGCAGAGCAGGGCAGTCTCCTTATTTGAAGATGGGTGAAACCTCGCTGGGGAAAGGACAGCTGACGTGCATGCCGTCGCCCAGCCCTGGTCCGGTCTGTGGCTCCTCTGGCTCCCCTACACTCTCTCCCTCTGCCTCCCCCCCCAACCCGGGACCTACCCAGCTCTATATTGATATGCCCTGATTCCAACGAAGAGAGAGACTTGGGAGGAAAAACAGCAAGAAGCACTCTTGAGGAGTTGGAGGAGTCCTGAGGAAGGGGCAGCTATTTCGGCAGCTCCCAGGGGGGGCGGGGAAGCTAGGAGGGGATTTCAGGTCCCAAAGCCATCAGACATTCAGAGGCGCAGATCCGCGCCCACGCGCATGGGAGCACCCACACAAGCACCCCGCGGGCAGAGGAGTCCCAGACGCACCAGATACCTCCCTCCTCTCCTCCCTGGAGGGCTGCTCAGCCTTGTGCAAGCACAGGGCCCCCCAGGCTTCAGGATGCACCGGGCAGGGGCACCCAGGGGTCACTGAGAGGAAATGAGACAGAGTCCCCAGGATTCTTTGTGCATCCCCATGCCCTTTGCTAGTGAGAACATGCAGGGGATATGTCCAAGATCTGACTCCTGGGGTACCACCCAGCCTCTCCAGGAGTGGGGGCTACAGGGGAAGGAACTGGACCCTGAGGGCTGGGTTGTTTCCAGAGAGTCTGAGTTCTGGGAAAGGTTCTCTCTCTCTCAGCATCCCTCTAGCGCCCCATTCCTGACTCTTCGAGTGGGCTGCAGCGGGGCTGGGGGAGGTGTTTACCTCAGAGACAGGCTGGCACTTAATCTGACGAGGCCTGAGATAGCAATTAGAGCTGGCCTGCTGGGGACCCCCCCCACACATTTCACCTGACCCCAGCCCTGTGTTGACCAGAGCCCAGCCCAGCCCTGGAGAACCTGACCCAGCTCCTCCCTGCCCCCCAAGTCCCCCCAGCCTTCCTTTCTCTCCTGCTCTCTGCCCCAGGACCTGGCCATTTGGGGGTTGTTAAAGGGGGGTAAGGGCAAAACTGGTAAGCTTCTCAAGTGTCCCAAAGCACCCCCCCAGATCCTGTGCCCCTCAGTTTTGTCACAACCCCTTTGATCTTCCCACACATTGCCACAAGGACGGGCCCCAGTGAGAGCCTGAGACACTAGCCCTCTGCCCATCACCCTCACCTTCTCCCTCCCCACTGGCCTAAGGCCAGAGGCATCCCTGAGCCCCCCACCCCCACCCCAGGAGTTAGCAGCCACAATGCTGGTGGCCATGGAGGAGCTACCTGGCGGTCTGAGCCAGACCCCACACCTCCACTCCCTGCTGTAAGGAGACAGGAGATGGAGAGGGAACACCCATGTTCCAGGGAGGCTGCCCTCCCAGTTGTAGCTCTGCGGCCTTCCCCCTCACACTCAGACAAGCCTATTTCAGGCTCTCCTGGAAGCCCAGATGCCTCTGGGAGCTGAGAAACTCCCCAAGCTGGCGGCTGAGGCTTCTCCTGGGCAGCACAGGCCCAGATGGGAGGCTCGGGAGTAAACACCAAGGGGCTGGGGAGTGGAGCCAGGATGAAGGAGCAGAGCACGTGGCCCCTAGACTCCCCTGGCTCAGAAGGAGGGCCTCTGCGACTGTTGGTCCTCAGGGCCATAATCTGGTGCTAGGTATTGAGGCAAGAGACTAACCTGGGTCCCAGGCCACCCCACCACCACCAGCACACCACAGTAGGGGGGAAATCTATTAAGGCAAGGACTGCCAGGCCCCTTCCCGGCCCTCCCATCAACTTCCCTGGGAAACCTTGGGCATCAATTCCTAATCCAGGAGGTGGGGATAAACAGTGCCAAAGCTTGGCAGAGTGTTGCAAGGATTAATGCAATCACATAATAAATGCTCAATAAATATATTCCCTTCTCCATAAGATGGATGTAATAACTGCTTAGTTGTGATATTTATTTTCATTTATTTATTTAATATTTTTATTGATTTCAGAGAGAGGAAGGGAGAGGGGGAGAGAGAGATAGAAACATCAATGATGAGAGAGTCATTGATCGGCTGCCTCCTGCACACCCCCCACTGGGGATTGAACCTGCAACCCCGGGCCTGTGCCCTGACCAGGAATTGAACCGTGATCTCCTGGATCATAGGTCGATGCTGAATCGCTGAGCCATGCCCGGCAGGGCACTTAGTTGTGATATTTAAATGAAATAATAGGTGGAGATGCTTTGCACATTGTAACGCACCAGGCAAATAGAAACCATTATTTCTATGGCAGTGTAAAACCCCAGAGTCTGAAACCCCCACTTAAGGATTGGGTTTTTCATATTTGTCCTTCATCACAACCCTTCTCCAGAAAAAATTCAGTGTGTTTTCAGTCTTCGTCGCCCCGGCCGTCCTCACCAGCATGTCTGTGAAGGGGTGAGCAGGAGGGCTTCCTCTCACACTTCTGCAGACAGGCGGTTGTGAAGTCCTTTGCCCAAGGTCACACTTGGCCTGGTCTCCACATGGCCCATGTCCTGGTCACTCCCCCACCAGCAGCCTCTCTGCTGGGACGGCCGGGGCCAGCTGCCCTTTCTGTTCTAGCGCTCAAGTCTGAGACCACCTCTGGCCCGAGTGCTGTTTGGGCAAATTATCAGCCCTCCGATCACAAAGGGGGACACTCCAAAATATGAAGCAACCTGAAAAAAAAACCAGGCCCAAGACACCCTATGCATTTTCTGAGGCTTCAGCTAAGTTCTAAGTTCTCACTGAGTCTGTGCATGTACCTCCCATGGTGTCCAGCCCTGGTGGTTGTCAGCATCACCTTGCAGACCGCCAGGCCCAGGACCAGGGTGACGGGCCAGAGGGTGCAAGAGACCCAGCTCTGCCCTTGGGCTGTGGGACCCAGTAAAAGGTGGCAGGGAACCCACTAATGGGCCTGAGGGGAAACAGCGGCGCTGGGCCAGCCTGGGCGCTCAGGGCGAGGACGTCTGACCCGGGGAGGGCATTCCGATGAGTGTAGGGAAGGCTCAGGCGTCCCAGGGCTTCTGCCAAGGGCGAGAGAAGATGTTGGGCTGAAGGGAGATGGCCCGGAATAGGGGAATGTGGACAGGACGTTGCAGAAGTGGGTGTGGGCACGCCCGTGGGCGGCTGGAATGCCAGGCTGAGCTGCGGCTGTCCGGTAAGCAGCGGAAGCCGCCGCATGTTGCTGAGCCTGAGTGACGGGATGAGAGTGGTAACTTCAGA